GGGGAATTCTGGGAGTTGAAGTCCACCCATCTTAAAGTGGCCAAGTTTGGACAACACTTGCCAACACAACCTTGAAGCTCTTCCTGAACTGAAAGAAGCTCACATAACAAAGTTGCATTTTTCATTAATACCCCATCACATTCCCCATTCCTTCCTTCCCATTCTTATCTACCTACAACTAAAGAGTACCGCACCCTCATTTCTTAAGGCCTTACATATTCTTCATGGTTAGTGATGGCCTACCAAAATAATGCACTTCTCTAAAAAGCATGGCTGAAGGTCCATTAACTTGGAAGATAGACCCTGAAAGCAACAGATTATTCAGTAAAGATAACAAGACAGGTAAGATTTTGGATTTGGCTTCAAAAAGCAATGGAGGGAGGGGTGGTTGGATGAAGTTTAGAAAAAAGCCCTGTTACCTACTGGTGTTTTGCTAATTTTGTGTGCCTATCTGCATCCTCTCTGTTTGGGATATTAGTGAATACATTAATATGACAAGAATAGTCCAGTTCACCAATCTTCTGTCTTCCCAAGGAAATGATATTCCAGAAATTCTCCTTAGGAATGCACGTGTGCAAAATTAAATAAGTAACATAACCCTTTTCAAACTCTGCTATGGTTACCTGAACTGCTGATTCTACAGATGCTGAGGGCTTCCCCTTCTGCTGGCTGTAATAGACTGGAAGGTATCCAGTCCGTTTTCTCCGAAACCAGCTTCTTCACTAACCTGAGTGTTGAAAAAAAAGGGATTAATTTCCTTTTTTTCACATTTCAGCCACTGCTGGTATAGTGTGCAATGTTTCTGAGTTAATACGGGATGGTAAAGTTAGTCCACATAAAAATACTTGTTGCAGAAAGGAATCAGAAGGTGGGAAATATTCAGAGACAAATCCAACTCTAACTGAATATATCTAATATTAGTAAAGAAAAATTTTGTTCCAGGTAAACTAGTCACTCCTGACAATTTCACAAACGCATTTGTGTAGATTTCTTGGCATCGGTACTGAAGTGGTATGCAATTCCACTGGATTTTTCTTTTCTTCTTCTTTCTAATTCTTGTAGTTTATGGCTCTGGTCTTCCCTGCAGTTCCCATCGGTATACTAACCAAGTCCAACCGCAACTGCCATCTTGCTGATTTTGGCTCCTTCCTCCGGGTGCCCCTGATTGGCCATTCCCAACAACCTGCATGCTTGGGTAGGGGAGGTGGCGTTTTGTGGGAACATCAAAAAGGGGTCAGTCAGTTGACTCGTGGGTTAAACTCCACCTGGTGGTGTTAAGAGAATGCATATGTGCCATCCAATCCTGCCAGTCCAAGGAAAAGTGCTGGAGAAAATGAGCGGCTGATAAGTGCAAACTGTGCTGCGCAAAACTTTGACAGCACAGGACACGCATCCCAAACCATGATTGGCTGCAATGGTCAAGTGATGCTATGCCTCTACTGTTGGCCTGGCCAATGGGGATGAGGCTAGCAGTACGGGGAAGCCTTGTCAGTGCTCTCCGGGTGCAAGGGCTCATGGGATATTAGGCATTCCTAGGGAAGGCAGGTGGGGGCTTTGTCATCCTAAAGCGGTGATCTTTCACCCAGGAAGCATGATGGTGTGCTTGGATTAGCTGTTTTGAGATCAGCTGTCACCTCCACACCATAAACTCCCATTCATCAGTTCTAGATCTGGACTGGATAAATAATTTCTTTAAAACTGGCTTGACTACAGAATCCTTCCTTTCCTTTCCTTTCCTTTCCTTTCCTTTCCTTTCCTTTCCTTTCCTTTCCTT